GCGACTCTATTGTATTCTATGGATTGTATCGATATCGATTGGTTAAAAACAAACACATAGCCTCAAAAGTAAATTCAGAAATCTGATAGAACGGATCTTTTGTAACAGATTTTTTATTCTTTTGAGTACCAAATGCCAATGCAAAGTGAAATTGTCAGGAAATTTCTCATTTTCAGCTTTTCCAATTAAAACCCTTAAAGTTTGGTTTGAGGATATTTTCTATTGTTTCGAACCAAACGATACATCGAACCGTTATCGAATACGGTCTAAACAGAAGGTGGTGTAAGCGGAGAAATGTACTTTTCTACGTCACAGCTAAAAATGAAGCCGCCCCTCTGATTGGTCAATAGGATCGCGGGAAAACCGAGACCTCTTTGAAATTTTAAAAGGAGCGGGAAAGTTTGTGAGTAGAGTACCTGTGGAGTACCTATATTGAGAGAGTATGGCCACTGGTGTTACCACCTCTGATTGGCTGACACCGCAATCACACGCTGAATGTGGCTTGAATGTGGAAGTCATCGGTCCGATGCCTGAATTTTGCGCGTGACGCGCAAAATTCAGCAACGATTCTCAGCAACCATCGGACCAATTTTGAATTTGTCTGAACTATTCGAGTAGATTTAATACACATCTGAATGAAAATAACTCGAATTTGCTAAATTTCAGCCGTTGGGCGATGACTGTTGACTTCCACATTCAGCTGCTAAATTCAGCGTCTGATCGCGGCATCAGCCATCTTAGGCTGAATGGAGCCCTTAGGACCCAAAAATGGCGGACGCTATAAATTCATGTAATGCAAAATGACTCAAAATGTAGTTTTCTTTGCTTATCGTAACGAGAAATTTACTCAAATGCACTATTGCGACATCTTTACATATTTTTAAGGCTAATCGTGTGCAATTTTTGAGAAAAATTATCTTGCATGTAGTAAGATTGGCAGCAAGTGCGGTTGGTGATAACCGTCAATAGTTGGCAATGACCCCCCTCCCATCCACGAAAACCGAAACAAAGCACCGCCATTTTTGGGTCCTAGGCCTCTCCATGGGGCCCAGTGGCCATACTCTCTCAATATAGGTACTCTAAGTACCTGTATACGGAGAGTACCAACAGATCGGTTCATGGAGGGCTTAGTATGGAACGCCGTTAGTGTCAAAACCCTTTTCTCGCGCGCGCGGAATTTTTTCTGGTGCGCGGAATATTTTTCCGGCGCACGGAAAGAAGAAACCTGTTTTCGATGAAAGTCTCTGAATTTCCGGATTCCGCGCCGGTTTTCGATATATTTGCGCCGTTTGTGTCAAAACTATTTTTATCGGCGCGCCGCTTCAAATCTGTTCCGCGCGCAGAATTTTCGATTTATCGATTCCTGCTCGCCGATCGTGTCAAAACTGTTTTTTCCGGCGCTGCACCAGAAAATAATTCCGCGCGCCACTTTTTCGATATATCGATTTTTCTGCGCGCGGAGAATATTATCTCTCTTTTGAACGATTTCCATTAAACCGTTGGAGGGGAAAAAGTGTAGTGTTGCCGATAATTTAAATTTATTTATTCCTGAATCCAGAAAGTTTGCTCTACTGAATTTGTTCATATTCAAATTCCCACTCATTGCTTTTTTACTTCATTTAAGTAGTAGCTGTATAAACTTCACGCTGCTTTACGTTGACCATCTTCTCCGCGCGCAGAAAAATCGACATATCGAAAAAGTGGCGGGCGGAATTATTTTCTGGTGCAGCGCCGGAAAAAACAGTTTTGACACGATCGGCGAGCAGGAATCGATATCGAAAATTCTGCGCGCGGAACAGATTTGGAGCGCCGCGCCGGAAAAAATAGTTTTGACACAAACGGCGCAAATATATCGAAAACCGGCGCGGAATCCGGAAATTCAGAGATTTTCATCGAAAACGGGTTTTTCCTTTCCGCGCGCCAGAACAAATTCCGCGCGCGCAAGAAAAGGGTTTTGACACCAGAGTACCTGTATAGCGAGAGTATAGACAGATGTGAAACTCCGAAAATCCATCAGGCCTTCACCGATGCCTCCGCGAATAAAGTTAGGGCCCAGAAATGCAGCCAACCTATGAATTTCAATTATCCAGAGCGATTTAATAATACAACTGTTACGAACCATCGTTTATCAAGCACGTATTTGACTTAGTTTTTGCATAAATTGACTCATTTTTGCGGAAGAACGCTCATTTATGTACTTTCTTAGCCATCTTCGTTAGAATTGGAATCTACAGACTGGCAGTGAAATTTTGTGCGTTAGAAGTTGGTTAGAAGGGTGGCTGCACTTTTGGGCCCTAAGCCCTCCATGAAGCGATCTGTCCATACTCTCGCTATATAGGTACTCTATTTGACACTAACGGCGTTCCATAGGCTTAGGGCCCAAAAGTGCAGCCACCCTTCTAACCAACTTCTAACGCACAAAATTTCACTGCCAGTCTGCAGATTCCAATTCTAACCAAGATGGCCAAGAATGTACAGAAATGAGCGTTCTTCCGCAAAATTGAGTAAATTTATGCAAAAACTGAGTCAAACACGTGCTTAATAAAGGACGGTTCGTAACAATATAGTATCAGTAAATCGCTCTGGATAATTGAAATTCATAGGTTGGCTGCCCTTTTGGGCCCTAACTTTATTCGCGGAGGCATCGGTGAAGGCCTGATGGACTTTCGGAGTTTCAGATCTGTCGCTACTCTCCCTATACAGGTACTCTATAAGGATCAGGAATCCTGCGATGTCTGTCACACAAAAACAACAACATCAACAAAGTGATCAATTAAAAAGAAAATGAGATTGGTTTGTGAATAATTTCTTAATCTATTTTCATTTTGGACCTATGGAAATAACAATTTACTCTTGATAAACCACAATTAGGTAATATTTTCATTATTCTTGTTCCTCATTCGAGGTACCGCCATCTTGGTGCACTCGTTTCGGCCTCCATGAGCGAGAACCAATCAGAATTGGATTTTTTTTTAGGCCACTTTCAGCCCAATCCTGGCCTAGGCCCAACTAGAGTCCCTTCATACTGAGAGTCAAGGGAGTCAAGACAATTCGGCTCATGGATGTCACAAACGGGAATAAAGATTACAGAAATTGAACGTTTTTCGTAATCTTTGATCGGCCCATTCTCAAATGCCTTTCTTCCGTTCCTCCTCTCATTCCGTTTGTTCCTTGCCGAACCCGTAATTCCCTGATCCATTCCAGATTATAATCTTTGCAATTGGTGAAAATGTAATCTTTATTCCCGTTTGTGACACTGTGGAGGCCTAAAATACGGGAACCAATCAGAAATGGATTCAAATTGTCTTGACTCTCAGTATAAAGGGACTCTAGGCCCAACCAAAAGTGAGTTATCGTAACTCTGGGTATAAAGGGACTCTAGCGTTTTGAATAGAGTCCCTTTATACCTAGAGTCCCTTTATACCCAGAGTAACGACAACTCGATTATCAGCTAACTGGCAGCCGACCTTGGCTGGCCATGGAGGCCGAAACTAGTGCACTCAAACGAACGATATTGGGGGATAAGGATCAGGAATCCTGCGATGTCTGTCACACAGAAACAACAACATCAACAAA